TCCGTGTCGGATGCGGGCTTGATAATTGCGCGACAATTATGCTCCCTGTCGTCAGAGCTGTTGCTCAGTCCGGTTCTTACCACGTGGCGCACCGATTTGCCATTCCCATACTGCGTACTGAGACATTGCCTGAGCAGGAGAATTAGTCACGTGGGAAGGGGTTGTACCCAGCAACAACTCTGACGACAAAGAACATAGTTGTCGCGTCATTATCAAGTCTGCATCTGACATGGACAAGGAAATCGCGGCCATTACTGACTTCAAAGCGAATTACCACGCCATCACCGCACCAATTACGACCCCAAGAGGTGATAGCAGGAGCTGATAATTATAGTTCGCACGCTAAAACCCATAAATTAAGCGGGAATGAGATTGCAGTGACTGATCTAGCTGGATTCGCGATCATGTGTACAAGAAATGTGTTAGTTCTTACACCTACACGACAGCTTGACCGTCAATTCCGACGATGTTTCCCGCGCGCTCCAGAGCCTGATGAAGCAGGGGCAGTTACTTGCGCCTGATTTGGTTTATAGTGGTGGTAGTAGACTTGCGTCGCCTCTAGCGTGCCACTACGCTAACTCGGACCCGGTTGAATGGAAGCACCATATAGGCCACATTAAGAAGGAAGTATTGCAGTCTGACTCTCAGCCCGTCAGTCGCCCTCTTTGACGCAAACACACACTGGACCAATTGCGAGGTGATTGGAGCAGGAATAATGTGCCTGCTGGCTGATCTCCCGACATGTCCACATGAAACTAACTTAAGTGTTGCTGTGAAATAAACACACTGTTGTCTCATGAAAAACAGTTGCGGTACCCTAGGAAAGTTTTCGACGGGCCGCGAAGGGCTGAGGTTTAGGGAGGCTACAGACCTGGAGGACGGGACTGCCCCATAACAAGTAAAACTTTTTCCTTATTACTGTTCCCGTACGGGCTGGGTCTAAACCCGGTGATCAAGGTGAAAACTGGGGTACGCAAACCATGAAATACCATGACATGCAAGCTCCCAAGGCGCGACTCGTGGCTCGCACCAGCCTGTTCGCAGTATTGCCAGATCCGGACCTCTGCCAGTGGAGCAAGTCGGATTAATGCAATTTATCTTTTTTTAGGATAAGAAGCGATAACTGTATGATGTGTGCCCCCACTCGGAAACGGGAATCAAGGACGTCTGCGATCCATATACTCTAAAGTAAAACTTGACCTTAACCGTAGAACTAACACTTAAAGCTTACCTTAACATTGACCCTTATCCTAATAACTAATATTAGGATAAGACTAGCATTAATATTTTCTTTATAAGCAGGCTTTGGCTTAGCAACCGTATCAATTTTGGTGTTGCCATTACTATCATAATTACCCTTTGCTGCATATGGTTTACACAACCTGTTGCTAAGTATTGCGGAGGCAAGATTCTCC